TCAAACCTCTGAGCTTAGGCAAGCCTCTCGCCTCAGCCTCCCAAAGTGCTGGGATAACAGGCTGAGCCACCACACTCGGCCCAACAGCCAACATTTAATGAGCATTTATTTCATCTTGGGCCCTGTGCTAAGGGATGGGGTACAAATGGTATACATAAAATGGCGGTCCCGACAGCCCCTCCCAAGCTCACCCACAGCACCTCTGGACCCTCCCAGCTCGTCCCACTGCCAGCCCAGCTGCCACTGGCTGCCAGGCTCTGGGCACCATGCCTTTTCCCAGATTGAGGGAGTGCCCAAGCGTCCCATGTGTCATGAGGCCTGGTAAGGCCACGCTCCCACAGCTACAACTCTCCATGTGCCCTCATCCTCCAGGTCCCCTCCTCCAGCCGCCTGTCCTTTTCCCTCACAAACCTTCAGATACCTCATCTCCCCCTCCCAATGCCCTACATCTACCTGGGGTTTTACCTGGAGTGGCCAGCAGGTGGCGCTGAGGCTCCCTTTTCCCCAGCGCTGGACTCGAGGCCAAGACCCCGCCAAGACCCTCTCCCTCCCTCCTTTTCTCCCCAGCAGGAGCAAGAATGGATTCCATGTCCTCTAACTGAACTCTCTCATAACTGCTGGCTCCTGCGAGGGAGGCCTGAGGAGACTCCAGTTGCTTGGGCAGGCCCCCTGGTTGTCTCCTCCTGCATGATGGGTGGGGGCTGGAGGTATCCCTAGGGGCTAAGCTGCAGCTGGTGGGGTGGGGCTGGGTGGGGTGGGGCAGGCAGCAGCTGCCGGAGAGAGAAAGAAGAAGAGAGAAAAAGAGAGAAGAGAAAAAGGAGCGAGAGGTGCTCCAGCTCTCCAGCCCCATCCCAAAGAGGTCGGAGTCCCAGCTGAGGATCCCCCAGGACAAGGTAGGTGGCTGAGGAAACAGGGGGTTGGGCAGTGTCAGCCTGCCAAGAGGAGCAGGCCTGGAGGTACTGAGGGGCTGGGCATTAAGGTTCTGCTGCTTCACAAGAGCTCCGCACTCCCTCCCCTCACCCCTTCCAATGTGGCCAAGTAGAAAGCAGGGCAGTAGGAGTCTGGGTGGGCAGTCCTAGGAAGGGCTGTTCTGCTGTTGATCTTGACCCATAGTGTGACTCAGCAGTGATCTTTCCATCTCTAGACCTGTTTCTTCGTCTAAACTGGGGGATGGCGAGGAAGATTTTGAAGACGTTCTGCGGGATAACTTTGCAAGATGTCCCCTTTTCCACAGAAAATTAGCCCTTCCGGGGCCTCTGGAAAGCCAGAAAACCTTTAAGACTAAAGGAATGCTCCCTGGTGGTAGAATTTCAGGTTGTGGTGGGAGGGGGCTCATTGGAGCCATGGGAGAGAGCTCATGGGTTCTGGTTGAAGCAAGAGACCCTAGCGTTGGTCCACGCCTCTCTCCGACCTTGTTTCTCTGACTGGGATGTGGGGTGGAGAATGTCGCAGGTGGGGGCGAGGTGTCCCAGAGGCCCTTTCGTTAAGCTCAGGGTGGTGGGTGTGGGGTAAGGGCACCTCTCTGCCACTCCAGCTCAGAAAAGGTGTGGATTGGGCAGAAGGGAGTGTGAGGACAGTGGTGGGCATATGGATGTCCCCAAGGTAGTGAGGGAGGAGCTCTTTTATTAGCAGTGGCTGCCTGCCATGTCTCCAAAGCCCCCTGCACTTTACAACCATTAGCTTACAGCATTTGACCACACCACCATGGGGTGGGGTAGAGGATGAAGCTGCTTTCCTCTCACACTGCTCTTAGAGAGAGAGATTGTTCCAGATTGTTCTCTGGCTAGAGAGAAACTGGCACAGGCCAGTTCTAGAGTCTCAGGAATCTTCCCTGGGTGGGTAGTCACTCTGGGTGGGGAGACAGTTAAGCTTTGGAAGTCAAATCAGCCTGTGTTCAAATCCTGGCTCGGCCTGGGTCCCTGTACAAGTCAAGCAGCCTGTTCAAGCTGCAGTCTGCTCCCTGCTCCCGTGCAAAGTGTGCACAGAGTATGATCTTACAGGGTGTGGTGGGAATTAAGTCACATCACACAGAAAAAGCCCAGCACAATATCTGGCACCTGGCAGATGCCCCCTGCTCTCATCAGAGAGGTGAAAATGGAGGTCCACAGAAGGACCAGGACCGCCTGGGGTCACAGCTGGACTCTCCAGTGAATCACAGCACCCTCTTCTCAGCCCCGCTGTGAACACTGAGCACCTACTGTATGCACCCTAGCATCCTCTCTGAACACTCGATCTCACCCCGTCAGCCCTACCGTGATCTCTCCCCTCTGCTCACTTCTGCCCGGGCCAGCAAGGCCACGGGTCTGCGGTGGAGTGAGGTGTGGGGACCCCCAGGCCCGCTTCGGAGTAGGGTGGGGCACAGATGAGCACCTCAAGGGCACCTCTCACCCACCCCTGGCAAGGGCAGAGATCGGCGGCCAGGTCAGGGCTGTGAGGCTTGCAGGAGAGGGCAGCGAGATTGGGACTGGCCAGGGCGGGAGCGCAGAGGGCCTGCTGGGCTCCTGCACAGGCCAGAAGGTGGGAGCCGCAGGTCCGCGAAGACCCTTTCTTCTGCGCCGCGGTCCCAGGGAGCGCGGGCAGGAGTGGGGGCGCCCTC